GGCGAGCAGACAAAGTGCTCTTTAATCGATTGTGACTCTTCGCCATAAACTTTACGAGGGAAACAAGCCCACCAGGACCCTCAGACAGAGCTGTCAATTAGCATCAGCAGCCAGGGGTGGAGGTGGGGGTCAGCTTTTGGGTTAAAACACACACACACACAACTTTTGGAGGGGGCTGACAGAGGCTCTCCGCTCCCCACCAAGCTCTCCTGGCTCCGCTGCTTGCAGGGCGACACTTGCTAAATCACGAAAGCGACTAAAATTAGCTTATCTGGCTCTATTTTTTTGGCTCCTCCTGGGCCCAGAGCACCTTCTCCGTGAAGCTGCCCAGGCCGCGGTGCCGCTCGCTGCAGCCTGGGCCTGCAGCAAAGGCTCACGCGGCCCAGAAAAGGTGCGACAAAGTCCAGGAAGAAATTATTAATAGTAATAATAGAAATAGTAATAATTAGCAGTAGTATTAGTATTAGCAATAGCAATAATAATAGTAGTGGTATGAAGGGCACCTCCTGCTCTGAGGGCTTGGGGTTTAACTATTCTCCTGTTGCTTGCCTTTTGGCCGCTCTCACCCAAAATGTCCTCACGCGCACACACAAATACACTCTATTAATGGACAAGGGATGGGACAGGGGTGAGAGAAGGGGTAGGTGCAGGGGCAGGGGAGAAGGAACGAGCAGGGACAGGGGAGAGGGCAGGAGGGGAGGGCAGGGGCTGCCTGGCCGTACCTTGTCGTTCTGGTAGGCGGTGACGGCGATGAAGTCGGTCTCGGGGAACACATAGGTGCGGAAGGTGCTGTAGGGCAGCTTGAGGATGTCGTTGGCCCGGACTATGTGGAACCTGGGCTGGTACTTGTGCATGGAGTTCAGGATGGTCTGGGTGGGCGAGAGAGCACAGCCCGCGGCTGCCGTCAGCCTCACGATCCACGTTACAGGCGCGTCTAGCTACCTCCTAAAAAAAAATCCCTTTTCTCCCGAAAACAACCAACAAACCCCACAAATTCACTGTGAGCAAGGAAT